AGGAAGGAAGGAAGGAAGGAAGGAAGGAAGGAAGGAAGGAAGGAGGGACGCGGGGCACCGTCTCTTCAAAACGAGAAACCAACACCACAGGATGGTTGGGGAAAAAACATAAGCATATCGTCCCTTGACTATGTTTGACTATTTGGGGATACTCCTCTTGTACAAGGACACGCGCGACTTAAAGGTAGACGGAAGGGGGAGTATGCACACGCAGCGATGCTGGCAAGACCCAAGCTGGGTCGAATCCTGAAGACGGATCCGAGCGGAAGCGGACCGGCTCGCCATCGAATCGTCCCGGATCGAATCGAAATTGGACCGCCGCGCCTGCCCCAGGCTGGCGCGAGGCGTTGCTGGTCTGTTGGGTTGGACCCGGGTTCAGCGCTGGATTCGGGAATAGAACAAACTGGAGAGCGGTTAAAGCTCATCTATCCCCTAAGCGTCGCCTTTGGCGGCTGTCGGGGTCCATTTACTTAAAGAAGCGAAGCATTTGAATTTGTACCGCTGAGGGTTCGAAGCCCACCACACACGAGAACAGGCAGCTAAGAGAACAGGCTGGAGAGCGGCAACAGCTAGCTCGTCTAGCACCGTTGCGTCGCCTTTGGCGGGGTCTGGGTGCAATGTCTTAAACATTCGCTTCCAATTGCTCCTGTTGTGGGAGCTCTTGTATTTACCATCACACTTGTTTGAAAGGCCTTTGGCAAGCTGGCCCTGGCATATGCAATCGCATGTGCTGCATGCAAATATCAAGCTGTCGGAGTCGCGGCATGCGGTATAAACCCTATGCAAACGAAGGTTTGCAGCGATTGCGCTGAAAACGGCGTTATGGCCAGTGCAGACTTCCGATACGGAAGGCAACTCAGCGTAGCTTCGCTTGTAGCAGACTTTACAACTCCAGAAATTTGGCTTGATGAACTTCCACTGGTGATGGGCTGGTCCCGAAGCCGCGTCCAAGGGAGGGGCTTGGGTGACGGACGGGGCTGGCTTTGGGACACCAGCTGAACACTGGCTATACGGGCGCGGCGGCGGGGGAGGGGGGGGAAGGGGGGGCGCGCGGGTCACTTTACAACCAGAAGCGCACTTTACAACCAGATGGGTCACTTTACAACCAGCTTACAAAATCCGAGAAGGGCACTTTACAACCAGGAAGGGCACTCTACAACCAGGCAAGCAAAAACACAGATTGAATGCACGCGGGCCTTTCCCTGGAATCTCCGTGGGCAAGCGCAAGGGTGGCTTTGGGCTCTCTGAGGCATGTTGGTTGTAAAGTTGCCCATCGCGCACGAAGAAGCACTGCGCACGCGTTGGCGATGCGGCGACCTGGCGCGCTATGGTATGTTGCGTGCTGGTGGGCGGATTAGGGTTTTGACCTGCTCTCTAAGCTCTGTCGGTCAGTTCTGCCATTGCTTGCTCTGATTTTTTTCTTCTGACGGGCGAAGGCTAGTCGCGCAGGGCATACGAATAGACCATGATCCCGTCCAAGACTGGAGCTGCATGGCAGTGGGAAGCTGTAGTGGGAGATGTGGTGGTAGCGGGGGCTACAGTAGGAACTGCATGGCGTTGGGAAGCTGCGGTGGCAACTGTGGTGGTCGCCAGGCAGCGGTGGGAACTGTGGTGGTAGCTGGGCTGCAATGGGATTTGCGGTGGTAGCGGGGGGTCAGTCGGAATTGTGGAGGTAGCGGGGCTGCAGCGGTAAGTTTGGTGGTAGCAGGCACAAAGGTGGCGGTGATGCGCTGTCACGGTGGCTCAAGCTGCTGCGCTGGCACGGTGGCTGAGGCTGCTGCCCGAGCAGGATACCTGCGTTGCTGCGCTGGCGCTGTGGCTGACGCTGGAAGGAACGATCTTCGAACTAGTTGCATTTATTCGGAACGTTGAACCTCGATCTTCCAAGAAGAGGAGCAGCAGGGGGCCAACTGGAGCTGGAGCACTGAGCCCCTTGCAGAACACCGTGGGGCTTCAGGGGCCAACGCGGCGCAAGAGACCCGCGGTGCCAATGGCCTAGTTCCCTGGAGCGCTGGGCCCTTGTGGAGGCCACTGGGCTCGCTTCCTGTGAGTGGTCCCTACAATGGGCAGCGCGTCGCCCTGAGCCTTCCTACATATGCTGTCGCCTTATTCCCGTGCGAGCACGGGGCCCTTGTTGAGGCCGCTTGGCCCCTGCTAGCAAGCCCTGTCTTAGTCTGCTGGGCTCAGAGCGCCAGAGCGTCCAGGCGCTCGGGCTCAGAGGCATCGCTGGGGCCTGCTCAGAGCGTCCAGGCGCTCGGGCTCAGAGGCATCGCTGGGGCCTGCGCAGAGCGTCCAGGTCCTCGGGCTCCGAGGCATCGCTGGGGCCTGCGCAGAGCGCCCAGGTCCTCGGGCTCAGAGGCATCGCTGGGGCCTGCGCAGGGCGTTCAGGCGCTCGGGCTCAGAGGCATCGCTGGGGCCTGCGCAGAGAGTTCAGGCGCTCGGGCTCCAGAGCGCCCACGTGCTCTGGAGCACTTTTCAGAACGTCCGCGCGCCCTGGAGCACTTTTGAGAGCGCCCACTTGCTCTGGGGCATTTTTCAGAGCGCCCACTTGCTCTGGGGCATTTTTCAGAGCGCCCACTTGCTCTGGAGCACTTTGCAGAACGCCCAAACACGCACGGCCACTCTGAGCTGGTTGTAAAGTGGTCCGTTCTGGTTGTAAAGTGGCCCGTTCTGGTTGTAAAGTGGTCCGTTCTGGTTGTAAAGTGGCCCGTTCTGGTTGTAAAGTGGTCCGTTCTGGTTGTAAAGTGGGCCGTTCTGGTTGCAAAGTGGACGTTCTCGATGAAAAGCCCTACTTTCCAATCCTATGTTGGTTGTAAAGTAACCCATCTGGTTGTAAAGTGGTTGTTCTGGTTGTAAAGAGACCGAATCTCGGGAGGGGGGGGGGGCGGAAGAGGAAGAAACACCCCCGCCTGCCGAACTGACCCCATCCCCTGGCGCCGTACCAGCCGTCGCTGGTCGATACTTGCCCAAAATCTCGTCGCGGTAGCTGTACTCTGCCCTGCCCTCCCTTCGAGGCCCCGCTCTCTTCAATCTGGAGCGGCTCCCCTGCCGGCCACGGGGTTTGGGCTGAGTTGGGAAAACCTCTAGAGCTCTAGCGGCGAATTTCAGGTAGGACTCCTAGTCCCAGGCTTTGGTAGTCTTTGCCTGATCCTCCACCTCGGCACTCGGTGGCTGGAAATGCGAATTGGCACCTAGCTTGGCAGTTTTGTCGGCTTCGCCGTTTCCCACGGCGTCAAACCATTCGGCTGAACCTTCAGGAAACGACGTGGAATCTAAACGGGCAGCCACCTTAGAACAGGAAACACCATTAGCGGAGAGTCCAACTATACGCATCTTGATTCCTGCGTAAAACGACTTCCTATACAGGAGGGTCTCTCGAGGCTGGGAGTGCAATCCGACCACTCCCTTATAGTCTGCTCTAATTTCTGTTACTAGCGGTGCGCATGTTACATCTGCCAACAATGCAATATGCTCAGCTGCTGGGCTACTCTGGGGCAGAAGGTTACCCACTCTACCACGCATCCTGGCGAGAACCTTATCACTATCGGACAGCTTCACAAGTCCCCAATCCGCCCGGTGGAAGAACCTGTGCCCGTCCTCATAGGCAGAGCCGTCAGAGAAGACTACACCCCTCAGAGCTTCTTCAGGAGGAGATCCGTCTTCTGACCACCAATCGTACTCTTCGTGTCCAATCCCCTCAGGGGAAGCTGTTTGGAAAGACGGGCACACTTGAAAGCCGAATAGTAGATGAGAGACCACATGTGGCTGAGTCAGAATACCCAGATCTTCTGTTGACAAGAACCGAATCGGATCGGAATCGTTGACCCAGCCGGCAACTCGTATCGGTTCGCAGAAGGCCCTGGCTTGCATTGGCACTGCCCTTTGAAGCAGGGCTCAGCACCTCAAAGCGCGAGCGTGCGGGCAGCTCCGGATACCTGACAGAAGGACCCGCCAACGAACTTGAGTTCAACAGTCTTGCCTGATTCAAGGAAGGAGGTGGTGGAGAGGGGGAGGGAGGAGGAGAAGGAGAAGGAGGAGGATAGGGAGGAGGAGAAGGAGGAAGATAGGGAGGAGGAGGAGGAGGAGGAGGAGGAGGAGGAAGAGAAGGAGGAGGAGGCGCAAGCCACTTCGAGTGCGGGCCCAATCTGCGCGCGCGCGCCCACGGGGCCCCCCCGGGCCAATCGTGGGGCTGGCCGTTCCGGCTGCAGTCCTGGTATGCGCCCGCGCCACTGTACCCATGGACCCCTCTGCCTGGCCCCTGGCGGGACCAGCTCTTCCAGAACGACCGCACCGTCCGCTTCGGGAATGGGCCCCTGCACGCCCGGTGCCGCCAGGAGGAGGAGGACGACGAGGAGGACGAGGAGGAGGAGGAGGAGGAGGACGAGATCGAGGACGAGGACGAGGACGAGGGGAACATCACGCTTTCCGTAGCAAAACCATCGAAACCCAAGAAAACCAGGGCACCCTGCAGCACTGGAGGCAAGCAGGGTGTTTCTTGGCATGGGTCTCCACTGTAGCCTCGGGAACCTTCCAAGGCGACACCGGAGACTCCCAACGAACTGCCCCGATGTGGCCCAGGACACACAGGAGCTCAGTAGCCCCAGGAGCCCCAGGAGGGCCCGAGTTGGACATTTGTCAGGCTGCGACTGCGACTGCGACCCGCATCGTGCACCCTGTAGGTGCCGCGGGTTGGGGCCGAAACGCCCGCGTCAGCAGAAAACGATTCACGGAACAGATTCTCCAGATTGCTCCAAACATGGCGGGCGGCACAGCTCAACATCGCGTGAACGGGATTCCGCTCACCTGCCGGGAGTGGGGTTACCCACTTCAACCAGCATCGCTTCCATCCGTAGTCTACCACGGGACGAAAAAAGTCTGAAAGGCAAGGAACGGCACAAGGGCCGAAAAGGCTCACCGGCAACTCGACATCTGGACAATCACCGGCCTATAAACGCAGGCTGGTACGGGCGAGCAGTGCAATAAAGCCGCCAGGGAGGGAATCACGCCACCAGCTCGATCTCACTGGGTCGCCAAGTTTTGTCGAACCACGTCTGCAGAGGGCCATACAATCGCAAACAAAGGAACCAACCTTTACCTGGCACAGTCTGAACCCAATTCTTCTCGCAGCCATTGGGAGCCTTCGGCCCAAACCAAATCGTCGTCGAACCATCCGAGCCCTTCACCATGTCTTCGTTTCGTTCGCTGTTCTTGCTGGGATAAGGTTGGCTCGTCTGGAGCATAGAGCGGGTCTGAGGGTCGTACACGACGAGCGACCAGAAGTCCTTTACAGGAGCATCGGCAGGAATGACCACTTTGTAGGTCTTGCTGCCGTCCAGATACCGCTTCTCGGAGTCGGTGGCGGCCAGTGCATACTGGGACCCCATGCCCACCATCTTGAGCACCATGGCAGGCGTGTTGACCGTGGCGATGTAGAAGAAGAGGGTCCGGGCATCCTTGTTCCTCCCGCCGTTGCCGTTGTCGACTAGCCACTGGTAGTCGCCGCCATCGAAGGCGGTGAACCAGCTGCTCTCTCTGCCGTAGTACCAGATGGTCTCGGAGCGCGGCCGGAAGGCGATGGAACGCGCCGTGGCGTTGCCGATGGCCACCGCGTCCACCAGGAGCCTCTGCATGCGTTCGTCGGGCGCGAAACGCTTGCCCCTCTGCATGCCGATCGCCGCCAGGTTGCCACGGATCTCGGCCGGCAGGGCGTCGATGGGCTCTCGCTGGATGACCGCGTCGATCTCTCGGTAGAAGCTCACGTCGTTGGCGTGGATGGTGTTGAAGACCCTCCCCGTCCCCTGGACCACCTCCAGCGGTCGAGGGCTGCCGGCCTCAGCGAGGGCAGAAGAAGGAAAAACTGCATAAACATCATCTTTTGGCGCTCCGCGCGGACTTCTTGGATCTGCGCTGGACCCCCCTCCCTGGCGCGCGGGGCGCGCCAGGGGCGGCGCTGGAGGCGCCGCCGGGGGGGGGCCCAGCGCGGATCCAAGAAGTCCGCGCGGAGCGCCAAAAGTTTATGTATATGGCGTTTTTTCTTCTTCGAGAGGGGGTAGATCTTCAGGCCCTCCGTCCACATCTTCACGGCCGCGGCCGTCCCCCCGTCCTTCATGAAGCCCCGCAGGGGCAGCCAATTGACATACGTCGGGCTCTTCTTGACGAAGTACTCCGCTGGGACCGGTGCCTCCCCCTCGAAATCCGGCGGCAGGATGAGATCCGCCACCGGGCCGCGAGGCACGATTTGGAGTGTCCTTAGGTCCGCTGTAGTTCTCAGTCCTGACCTCCCCTGATCATGTGATCCTGGAAAATTCCAGTCGGGACCAACGAGATCGGTCGCTACCGATCTTGTTTCAGACTTCGGTATAGTATAGGTCGCGACCGATTGCTTCAACATCGGTCGCGACCGAACAATCTGGGGCTGAATTGAACAATTAAGGGGACCAGGCCTCAAATTCCTAAATCTCCTGGGGCTCACGACGCCTCCTGGGCCCCGGCGCGTCTTCTCGCGTGACCTTTTCGTGCCCACGACCCCGAGACAAGCACGGTGGTGGAATAGGCGGAAGGCCAGTAGATACTTGCCGCCTTTGCCCCTATCGGGACCAGGGGCGCCCATATCAACCACGAATCGAAAAAAAGCGTCGTTCACGGTGCCTGGACCTGCGCCGGGAGGCACCTCTACAACCGTGGGCCCGTCCCTTTTTAGGTTCAGAAACCCAATGGCGTACACGGTGTCCGTGTTGCCCGTCAAGAAAAGGCTGCTGGAGTCCATGAGATCCGAGAACAGGATGATCTTGTGGCATGCGTCCACGCCCAGGTCCTGGAAGCCACGGTGTAGTGCCTCCACTGAGGCAAGAGGGACAAAATCCAAGAACACCTCAACAGCACGCATGGTGTCAAGGTTGTCGTAGACCTTTTGGACCGTCGCGTCATCGGGGAGTCCATCAAAAAAACGCAGGGTGCCCAGGGAAGTGCTCACCTCATCCGGCGTCATGATGCTAGCAGGAATCTTGTGATTGAAATTTGGCGTTGCGTCGCTGTCGGGCTGCTTCCTCTTCGTCGCCATGTCGAAAAGCCAGCAACTGAGCTACTTGACGGCGCTGGCAAGCAGGCGAGCTAGAACGGGCCTGAGGCAATGTGGCTTGAGCCAAAATGGCTATGGGGGAAGGGCTCGAGACGAAACGAGGCATCTCACAGAGCCAGCCGCAAGTGCCGGCCCCCCCTCCATCTGAGTGGCCGTCACTGCCCCCAAGACAAATTGACTCCTCTGGGCGCCACTGCCTACGCTGCCCTGACTCTCTTTATCTGAGGCCAAACAAATAGAATGGCAAGGCTACTCTTGCACTGGGCGTGCGAATGTGTAGCACCTGTGACTTCTAATTTCACCTTGGCGACAGATACAGGTCAGTGAGGACTGCATGCGTGCTCGTCATCAGGTACGGTGTCATGCGGCAACTACTGATTATGGACCAGAAGTGGGCACTGTACCGCACGGCAGTTCGGGAAACTTACTGGGAAATGAGGTCATAGCCTGACCCAGAAGAATCCATAGTATGTTGCTCGGACCGCCCGTGGCCTCCGTCCTGAGGTACTCCACCAGGCTTAACAAGCTGAAAGGCGGGATAGAATCCTCGAAGTGGCCAGCCTGCACGAACAGCCGAATGAGTCTTACACTAATGTTAGAGACAAGGCTGGTAGAAATCTGAATAGGTGTTGCTGATGTCACGACGCGACTCTGGAGTTACTTCGCACATGGTTCTCACACCTGTCGCCATGATGTCTATACTGCTCGTCCTACAATCCTCGCCCTGCTGCACCGTCTCCTGCATACCGTCGCAACTGTTCCTCAGCAGCAACGCAGCGCTTGTTCTGTTCATGATCATTATGCTGCTCAGCGTCGTGGTCCTCACCATCGTCATCGTCCCGTCTCCTACTCCTCGTCGGTGTCCTCCTCCTGCTGTTCCTCCTGGTCATCCTCCGCCTCCTCCTCCTTGGCATAGATATCCTCCTCATCTTCCGTCTCCTCATCCGCATCATCCTCCTTATCGGCATCACCCTGCTCTTTGCAAGTCTCGTCCTGCTTTATCTTGTCGGTCCGCCTCGTCATCTCCATGATATTCGTCTTTGTCCTTCTTCACATCCCCCTGTTGTGCCGTTTCTCCCCCAGGCCCGATGGGACTCGAAAAACACCAAGAGACCGAGCTTGAAACTCTGCAGTTGCTCCGATCATTTCCCCCAGCGAACCCCCCGAGCCAGGTCCATCACACTGAACTGGAGCTGGCCAATGCGCCTCCAGGAACGGCAGGCGACCCCTTAAGATCCGAATACTCCAAAGGCATCGAGGGCGCCCTCAGGCGAGCGCTATCCAACACTACCCTCGAGGCGTATCTGTAACTCTGCCTCGGCCATCGCCTCACCTTTACCCAGAGAGCGGATGTGCCATAAGCAAGCTGCGCCCCCCATTACAAAAATGTGGATACCTCCTTCTCCCCCTCTACCCCTCCCCCCTCCCTTTCTCCCTCCTCATCCTCTTCCTCCTCCTCCTCCTCCACCTCCTCAGACTTGACCACCCCCATCTCATCCAGCTCCCCCGCCTCGTCACACTTCCCCTCGCCCTCCTTCTATCATTCTCGTTTCGCACACACATACACACACGCCAACCGTCAACAAACTAATGCATTGCTTCCGCTGGCTACGATAGAAATTGACCTTCCGCCGGCTTCCACCGAGAAACTGGGGCGAGGCCCTGGAAGGCCAGAAAAAACGCAAAACCACGTCGGCATCATTGCACGCTGCTTCCGAAGCTGAACTGCGTGGAATCGCCTCGCGAAAGCTTCCAGGGGGCCCAGGAAGCCCTAAAAATTTCCCAGGGCGGCCCTAAGGCAGGCCCCAAGGCAGGCCCCAAGGCAGGCCCCAAGACAGGCCCCAAGGCAGGTCGAGCACCCCTCAGGATGGCCCAAGACCGCCCCGGGAAGGCTCCAGATGGCCCAAAGGCCCAACAGGACGTCGCCAATGCAATATGAGCCAATCGGGCCGAGTAGGGGGGGGATCGGTAAAGCCCGGTGCTCCCACGACGGCCAAGAAGCCCCCAACTGGCCCTCACAAGCGCCCCAAGAGGCCCGCGAGAGGCGAGCGAGAAGCCCGCAAGAGGCCTCAAATAGTCCCCGCCCAAAGCGTCCAAGCCTTCAGCTGGGAGGGGGGAGACGGGAGGACGAGAAGGAGGAGGAGGACGGAGAAGATGAGGAGAAGAAAGAGGCTGAGGAAACGGAGTGTTTAAGACCCGCACCAGTTCTGACAGGGCGCCGAACTGGAGCTGGTCTTGAACGCCTGCTCCTCCTCCTCCTCCTCCTCCTCCTCCTCCTCCTCCTCCTCTTCTTCTTTTTATTATTATTATGTTACGATTATGCTTCTTATCGTTATCATCGTACTTGTCATTAGCGTCATTAATATTTTTATTCCTCCTCCCCCCTCCCTCCCCCCACTCTCCGCCCTCCCTGCCGCACCCCCGGACAAGTCGGAAGGGCGGGCTGGGCATTTCGCCTGAGACTTCCGTACCAATTATGATC